GAAGGAAGGAAGGAAGGAAGGAAGGAAGGAAGGAAGGAAGGAAGGAAGGAAGGGCCAGGGATTTAGCTCAGTGGTTTTGCCGCCTGCTGCGCAAGCACAAGGACCCGAGATCAATCCCCCCCCCAAAAAAAAAGAAAGGAAGAAAGGATAACATTTTTTAGAAGAGGTGGAGTGCTATGGAAAAAACAAAGGAAGGGACATAGTGAGTGATGAGGGTGGAGAATTGCAATTTTAAATAGGTCAAGGAAGACCTCACAGTTGAGTGAAGACTTACCAAGTAGCTGCCAGATGAATATCCGAAAGAAAAGTGAAGCTTTGAACATGCTTATAGTGTTTGCTGAATAGCAAGGACTGTGGAACTGGATTGGAAACGGAGGATAGTAAGAGGAGGGAAAGCAACTGAGGCTGTATCTCCCTGGGTGTGTAAGATTTCTAGGACTCTGGCATTTACTCTGTTCATGTTTGGCTGTTCAGAGTTTTTTGAGCCTAGAAGTGACACCATCTGATGCATACTTGAGAAGATCACTCTGACTTCTTAGTTGAAACTGAATGCAGAACAGCAAAGAGGACCAAGTTGTGACCTGCTGCGGTAATTCAGTGGGGTGACATGGTGGCTTGGACTAGGGGCGTGGGCATAAGGGGGACAGATCTGGATACATTTTTAAGGCAGAGCCAATAAGTTTTGGACATGTAAAGTGAGGGGAAAGGGGAAGCAATATTTTGGCCTGAGCATAGGAAGGTTGAAGTTGCCATTAAGTGAGACACAGAGGGCTGAGGAAGGACAACTCAGGGTGGGTGTAGGAGAACAGGAGTCCCATGTGGGCATGATATCTGAGATAGCTCTGAGTGGTCAAATGGGGCTCCAGTTGGTATATACCAGGCTGGAGCTCAGGGGAGAGATCCTGGGTGGAGACAGAAATTTGGAGTTATCAGTGTGTACCAAAGAATTTAAAGCTAAGAGTGGATGAAATCCAGGGGGAAAGCATAGAAAAGAAAAGCTCCAAGGACTGAGCCCTGGGACACCGAGATGCAGAGATTGAAGAGACAATGAGGAGCCAGGAGACTGAAAACAACTGGCCAGTGAAGTCGGGATAACCAGGAGGAAAGGGAGATCCACCATGGCAGGTACTTCTGATGATGTGTCAAGCAGAGCAAAGGCCGGGCTTGGTTAACAACACGGAGGCCAAGGCTGGGGATTTAGCTCAGTGACGCTGCGCCTGCCTTGCAAGCACAAGGTCCTGAGTTTGATCCCTGGTACAAAAAAAAAAAA